ATCACGATGATTTATAGTTTTCATTGAAATATTTCTTGAGAAACACTGGCTTTCCGGTTTTTTATTTAACTGATTGAATTTTAATAATGCTAACACATAGATGTAAAATATAAACTTATTTAGAATATTTGAATATTAGAATACGAGTGGCATAAACTTTCTAGCGAGATGATCCTAAATATTATGATAATTCTGTTGGCTTGTCCACATAAACATTCAAACAAGTTATCAAGTTTTACAAATATAATTTTCCAATATTGTAATCATAAGTCAAAATTGGTCGAAAATTATATCGTTTTTCAAGGCATTTATGAATATTTTAAAATGTACAGTATATAATGTACTTTATATATTTTAAATAATCATAAAATAAATAAAAAAAAAACATAATCTGCTATTTTGTTAATCAAAATAAATATGCATCTAGGCTATACAATTAAAAAACAATTTCCTTGTTTGTAACTATACAAAAACTTTAGGGCTAATTAATTTACTGTAATAAAAAGTAATAAAAATAAAATAATGTCGAAAAAAAATGAAATCTTTAATAATTTTTGTATAATATTTTACACAAAAGTACTATTGTTAGCACTTAGTAGAAATAAAGTGGTATACCGTTCTTTGAGTTAGGTAGCAAAATATATTAAAAATTAATTATTTATCTAAATAAAAATAACACCAATTATAATTATGGTTGTCGTGTTACAAGTCAAATTAAATTCAAAGAAAACAATAAATGTAATGTATTTTATTATTCTGACAATATTATTTTTACAAGCTTGAAAGATAAAAAACGGTAATAATGGAAACACATTATAATAATAACAATAATTGTTAAATAAATGTCTTAAATAATGAAAAATATAAAATGTCATAAAATTATTACTATATTAAACGCATTTTTTGTGTTTACTAAAACATATAGGTAAAATATTACTCTAATATTTATATTCAAATTCAAGTAAGTCTTATTATCAGAGTAAAATTTTAGTGGAAGTCTAAAATTATTTGATTTTTTGAATTTATCAAAACAAAAACAAAAAACTAACGAATATTAAAAATAATCTTTAATGATGAATAAAATATTTATTCTTTCGAGTATGAATATATATAAATATGAATCTTAGAAATTAAATGAAAATTTTATTTTTAGATTTTAGTAAAGCATAAATTTGGTTAGATTTAATTTTATAATTAACTGTAATTTTTAGATAATTCATGAAAATATTATTTTAATATTATACTCAAAATAAGATAAATCTTAATTTTTAGAACAAGCTTTCAACGGGAGTAATGAAAACTATTTTTTTCTATATTCACATAAATAATTTTTTTAATTTTTCTTCCAGTTCTGTTACATTATAAAATTTTGTAAATAGGTTCCAATCATTGATGTATCACCAGATACTATAGTTTACCATATATAATGTATTACAAAGCATACTAATATAAAATATTTCAAATGAAAATACCTCGTAATACGTTCCCTATTATAATTACTACTTTAAATTCGTAGATACAATCATAACTCATACCTACCCTAATGTGTAGTAAATTCATGTTACTAGAGTTGTTTGATAAATAGGTATTGTGTTAACAAAAATCATAAAAACATACGAGTAATACCAACATAACAATGTGTCCAACAACGTAAAATAGATTTTTTCGATAAATCATATAAAAATTAATTATTGATAATAATTTATAACCATTATGGAATACTGGAACCTATTATTGTTGTTAAAATCTGATTTCAAAATCAATAATGGTGTACTAAATAAAAATAATAACATTATTAGATTATTATATGCTCTCGTTAGACATTTACTTGAATATGATGCAGTCGTCCGGGATTCATCCGCAGCCGTTGGCTCCAGGCAATTTTAGCAGAATCAAAGGATGTTTCTTAGGTTTGTAATTACCTTAATATTCTTTGTGAACCTCACGATTACTCTCCTATCGCTACCCTGATTGGCTTATCATTTCTTGCCGAACGAAGCGGTCCGCTAGCGCTTGGTCCCTTGACAGGTTGTTGAAGGGTACTGTAAGCTCACACCTTCATTATCATTGTTGTCATTTAAAGTACTCCAATATGCAAATCGTTCTTTTACCATAATCTTTATATCCTATGCCACCGCGAGTTATTTAACTAATGAGCCATTAATAAAATTTATATTGAATAAGAGTTCGCTATTTGATAATATTGTATATATTTGTTATTATTATTAACTTATCTCATTCTTTCATGTTTTCATATTCAGCATAAATTTTAACTCGTACTTACATGTACATTTACAAAGGGCTAATCTAACCTAACCAGTAAGCAAATAAAAAATAAAAATTAAAAACAATTATTCTTATAATATTAATTAAATGAAATTGTTTTATACTCAAATAAATTAAGTTATTAACACAGTATAAGTTGGTAATATACCAACGCAAGTCACCTACTATGAGGTAGTACTACGGCCTTGTAAATTATGTTCGACTAAAATGCTTTTGGTCGTAAATTAAGGATTTTGCACTCCTATTATATTTCTTAGACATAGTAGCAGCACGTTTGACGAACCCTTGTTCACTTAAAAATTTTAAATTCAAACCTGATTCCTCTAGAAATACGTCTACGTCACTTGTGTTCTTATGAGTTATAATATGTACCTTTGTACATGTATAATATAGTATACATGTACTATGTATGAGGTTGATTTATGCAGTATCTCTTGACTCTCGTACGGAGAAAATTGCTCTAACATTTTTGATGGATGACCGCGAAATCACAGATTAAATATGAGTAGCGTTTTATAAGGTATAAAAATAAGTTCCTAACGTAGAGTTTTTTTTGCACGACTACGTGCATAATATTTTATAAAGTATAGCGATACAAAAGTAAAATAATTGTGATTTATACGAATACAAATAAATGATAACAACGTAAATATATACTCTGCGGTACCTATGTAGTATACTGCATGGGTTTTATTTTTCGTTCGTCTGTCACAATGATCTTAGTGCAGTATAGCTATAATAATATTATTATAATGTACTCCATACGAGTATATGTATATGTATATATTACGATTGAATGGTGACTATCATCCGTTCAATGAACAGTATCATCGATTTGTTTTTCAGGTGAAAAGAGATCTCAAGAGCAGAGACTGTGCGTAGAAATTTGAAAGTAAAGCACTTGTATTAACTTTCTAGCCAATTGTTGTCTTTTTCTTCATCGTGCACTGCAATTAGTATTCAAACGGTAGTTATAGACACCACGAATTAAACACATTTTATGTTATAATTATTCTATAGAATTATAATTTTAACACCATTCATTTACTCACCGATCAGCATACAGCCAAAACTATCATACCGGTATTCAAAACTACGTATGTATTGTTGTATTGAAAAAAAAGTTTTTTGAAATTCGAAAATGTATGGATTAAAACACTTTTGGGTATGAAATTGGCCATAAAATCTATTTACGAACTTTTCATTGATAGTGTGGAACGGAAATCAACTATTGCGGGAATTTCAAATAATAAATGCGATTACGTATTGATGACATTTCGGCCAATAATACCAACTACTATACTTTATGGTTATATTTCATAGCTCTATCCAGTATGTATGATCTATTCACTAAACCTATATTAAAATAGCTCGTCCGAAAGAGTAACGAACTTCAAATTTGATATCCAATGCGATCTTGTAAATAATTCATTCTGTAAATATTTAGGACAGTTATGGACCTTCTATGATTTATTTTATGAGCCATTAATAATTTTATTGGAGTCCAGAAAAATAAAATAACAAATAAATGTAATATAAAATTATAAAAATCTTTTATAACATCATTTAGGTATTTGATAGTTTACATTTTTATTTTTATTTTTTTATCAATCATTATAAAAATTATGTGAACAAATTAATTAATGTTAATTAAAGTTCGATGTGTTTACGGTCTAGTTGTCTGCTTTCCGCAGTACGCAAGTTGTCAACCGTTGATTTATCTTTTTTGGAAACAAAAAAATATAAATATTTATCGGGCAGTATGTATTGTTTTTTAATCCAATATGTATATTAATCACAATAAATATGGCTATATATATATTATTTATTTAAACTAATAGTACAAAAATTTCTAATTATTTAAATACGTCATGTATTCTATTTCTTACAGTTTAAACTCGTATTGCAATGGTCATTCTCGAAACTATTTACAGGCTTTACATTTTTTTTTTTTTTTTTTTAATATTTATGACAAAATTATACAAGCAAATAATTAATAATAACATCCAAATCCTTTAAACAAAACTTAAACTTATGGTACTGGTAGAGGGTTATAGTTATTGTAACATTAGATTAAAATAACAATTAGAAAATGAATATAAATACATATACGAAGTTTGTTCAATAAATACCCAGACTAAAATTATTAAAAATTATATTTCAAACTTACAAATTATTTAAATGGATCACCTTCAAAATAGTGTCCTTTAGCTTCAATACAGTACTCCCAACGGTCTTGCCACTTTTTGAAACACCTTTGAATTTCTTCTATAGTTATAGCCTTTAGCTCTTGTGTCGCGTTATGAATAGTTTCGTTAACGTCTTCAAATCTGTGGCCTTTGAGGGTACTTTTTAGTCTCGGAAACAAAATAAAATCACAGGGAGCTAAGTCAGGTGAATATGGTGGGTGAGGTACCACTGGAATATTTTTAGATGTCAAAAAGTCACGTACGGAAAGTGCAGAATGCGCCGGTGCATTGTCATGGTGCAAAAACCACGACTTTGATTTCCACGCTTCTGGTCTTTTACGGCGTACTTTCTCTCTTAATCTTTCTAGTACTTGTTTATAGAACACTTGATTTACTGTCTGACCTGTATGTACAAACTCATAATGGACTAAACCATAAAAATCAAAAAAAAACAATGAGCATTGCTTTGATGTTTGACCGGACCAGACGACATATTTTTGAACGAGGCGAATTTGCAGTCTTCCATTACGATGATTGGAATTTGGTTTCGGGATCATATCCATACACCCATGTTTCATCATCCGTAATTATTGATTTTATAAAACTTGGGTCATTAGAAACCCGATTTTTTAGATCCAAGCACATTTTAACGCGATGTTCCATTTGCTCCTCGGTTAACAATTTTGGCACTAATTTTGCGGACACTCTTTTCATACCCAATTCATCTGATAAAATCGAATGACAAGTACCAATTGATATGCCAACTTCATTGGTTAATTCTTTGACAGTTAATCTTCGGTCGTATCTAATTTTATCTCGAACTAAAGTAATGGTATCAATTGTTTTTGATGTTGATGGACGCCCAGGACGATGATCATCTTCAATGGATATATGACCTTCTTTAAATCGTTCGAACCAGTCAAAAGTAACACAACGACTTAGTGTAACATCTCCAAAAGCCAATTTTATCAATTCAAAAGTTTCCGTCGCATTTTTCCCAATTTCAAAACAAAATTTAATACACGCGTGTTATTCCGAAATATTATCCATCGTGAAATTGCGATTTTATACAAAACGACCAACTTTGAACGCGCACTGTCGAAGACTGATTTGAGATAATGATTATTATTATATACTGAAATAATTTATTTATTTATTTATTTATTTATTTAAAAATTTAACGGACCTAGGTCCTTTATATAATATATAATAATTATAAGTGTAACATTAAGACAAACGATACAGTTTACAATAATTTACACAATAATAATTAATTATAATAAAAATAAAAATACACATGTTATAAAAATTACATACAAATTTGATTATACACAACTATTTCTTAAAAATAACAAAGCATTATATTTGAAATTATCACGAGTAGTTGAAAAAAATTCTAATGAGAAGGACATTTTATTAGCTATGTTTAAAGCGCGAGGAAAAAATGAATTAGCACCGGATTTTTTTAGAAAATATGGGATAATAAATAATTCTTTACTTCTAGAGAAATATGACGGTATGCAAATGCCTAATTTTTCCAATAAATAGGGACAATCAATATTTCCATTTAATAAATCATATATAAATAATACATCTGCTAATTTTCTTCTAAGGGACAGGGAATCTAGACTAATTAAACACTGGACTGTACCAACAGATTCTCTAGATATAGGAATATTATTAATAAATGTTACTCTTTTTAGAAATTTATATTGAACAATTTCAAGATCATTAATATAAGTTGACAAATTTTGTGACCAAATTAATGAGCCAAATTCCAAAGTAGGACGAACAATGTGGATAATGGTCATTATCTCTAGTTTATTTTGGTGTAACAACATTATCGATAAGATTAAATATTTTTCTGCAATAATTTTAGTCTGGGTATTTATTGAACACACCCCGTAAATTTAAATACTTTTAAATATCATAAATATGTATATTTATTGATATAATTTTTAAGTCAATTGATTGTGTGTACATTTACAAACAACAAAATAGACAAATCACGTGAATAACTAATATAGAATTATTTCATCTATAAAAAGTTCCACCTATCTTTTAAAGATATTTGATTAATCAATATTTAATTAATCATTCTAAATCTTTAGGACTAAAAAATTAAATTTATTTCTCCCTAAACTGAAGATCTTAGGTGTAAGTGAAATATTAAAACATTTATCAAAATGAAGATATTTTGCTTTTTTCACACGTAGAGTCCCACCGATCAAATTGGACTTAATACTAAAGCAGAGCTATAAATATGAAGTGCCCTCTAATGGAAAGCCATTTAAAATCTAATAAAATAAATAACAGCAAATAATAATTAATACGCCTGAAAATCATTTGCGGGAAAACTTACTGATCCAGTCGCAGCTTACTGCGGTTAGCGTCATGATACATTTGGCAAATACGCATTCAGAGCCTTGGCACTCTAAGCATTCGGATATGTAATAACCCAAAAAATCAATTTGTTGATAAATTACCTCCCTACTCACTTAAGGGAGGTATTTCGGAGTTACAAAGATTCGAGAGCCGATCAGTGCAACTGGATAGTCTTGTAAGCTAAATATGCATTTTAATTAGCAGGACTTTAATTAACAGCATTTATTTGTTCCGTAGCAGATGAGCAGATTGTCATAATTTAATTAGTGTTTTTGTTTTTTTATTTTGTTTCACGTTGATCACGTTCGTCATTTGAACAGCCCAAAGAAGGACTGTTTTCGCCAATAAGACTGGGAGATCTGTCGACGTTCAGCCACCTAGTTTGTTCGCGATTTTTAAATTAATTTCTTATATAGCTAGTAAGTTCATCAAAAATTAAGTATAATACAATTTATTATTTATTTAATTATTTATTTACCTAATATTCACGGAAAAATGCCCTTTTTACAATTATAATAACTTTAATATTTTATCTTGTTTAATACATTGATTTTAATAGTTGCCAATTGAGTTTTATGTATATTAATATAGTATATACATATTATTCGAATAAATGAATATTGTGCTCTTTATTTATTTTTTATATTGAAATATTAGTTTTTTCGATCTTAAATAGTGAAATATTTCTCGACCAAAGTTAAACAATTTTGCTAATTATTGTATGATTTCGATTTTTTTAAAAATCTATAATTGTCATATTGTCTTTTTTTCTCTTTTAAAGTTTTTAAAACAAAGCCAATATTTCAAATATTTTTCAACTTATTTTTCTAAAAAATTATTGAATAATTATTCTAAATAATAATATATAGTTTTTAAACAGATTTATTCGCATCATTTACAAAACTGCTGTCACTGTTTGGATTTTTTTTGATTATCGAACGGACCCGTGATTCCAAAGCACGCTTTTAGTGCATTTCGGTATTTCTTTAAATGGTATTTTATTAATGTCACCTCATCATTAATCTCTCGTGACAGTTTTTCTTTTTCAATACCTATATGTCCAACATTAAATACCTCTATGTATAAATAAAAACTGACAATTTTTTCCGTTTCGATATTTTCAAAGTACACGGTGCATACTTAGAGATCATTTTTCATATTTCAATTTTTGCGACGGTTGACGAGTATATTTATTTTATATAAATCATATTTTTAATCATACACAAACGTTTTTAGTATCAATTTCAAGAAGATATTTACTACATTGCCAAAATCATTTAGAAACTGAGAAATCGTTTGACCTATTCCTCAAAAATTAATCTAAAATGATAAAATGACAAATTATAACGATGAAAAATAATATTACCGTCCGTATTATGCAGTTTTTAGTTTTCAGAGTATTCAGTTCGAATTCTTAATAGGTCTAAAATATTTAACTTTAAATAAACTTGTAATTAACTACCCAACATATTAACAAACTATAATTTTTACAGTAAAAATAAAATAAAAAACATTTTACATTGGTATACTAGACGCATTTAAATTCAAACTTGTAATATAAAATTATGTATTATTATTTTTCTTTCTACTTTAATTATACTCTTCAATATTTTTCGCCACAATCATCAAATAATTTCACTCTTCCCATATATACTATATCTCTCCGATTTCATAACCCCAGATACTCTAAATATTTTCTCAAAATATCTAGCCACCTCTTTAGAGATCGACCCCGTGAAACCTTTTTCCTTTCAACTTTTAATCCAGTAGATACTAAATCGATTGCTACATTTTCTCTACGTTGTATTACATAATTGCATGTATTTATGTATTCAATAATATTATGAAGTTATTTTTGCTACCGTATATTAACATATAATCCAAGCTTGTTACAACATTTACATTGTTCCATTTTATTATAAGATATTAATACTGCAATATATTTGTATATATAGATATATATCAGGAAATAAGTTTAATTTAGTTTTACGTATGTTTTAAATTTAAAATATTCAGCAAAATCTATACTATAATTCTGTAGATTTTGTTTTAATATGAAAATTGAGATTCCCACGTCATTGTTTTACATGTTTAAACATGTTTTTAACATGATAATACAAATACACAAATAGATTTAAAAGATATTACATAAATGTGAATATTTTTTTAAATTTTTGTTTTAGTCACGTGCCTACAATAGTTGCAAACACACTGTGTGTGCTATGGTAATTGTGCGTTATCGTGTCTCTTTTTGTTCGGTTCCTGTTCCTGTTCTCGTAATTATTGTTTTTCCTTACATCTATCTTATCTTATTATTTATATAATTAATAATTGAGGAACGGATTTAAATTTAGTAAAAAATTAAAAATATTTGAAAATTTATTTGTTTATTACTTTATAAATATTAATTTATAATATTGAAATATTGAAATTGAAAATAAGATATAATTCACTATAATTTATAAATAATACATAATATAAAAATAAAAATGTTTATTCTGAATCATCCGAATATTCATCATGGGAGAAACAATTAGAAACGACATGTAATTTGAGATTTTCAAATTTTAAATTACGGCGATTCGACCTTAGTATTGCTTTATAACGGCTAAATAGCTTCTCCACATCAACGGAAGTGACAGGTGCATAGTTCATATATGTTAATTCTTTTAGACTGTACTCTATTTCTAAATTGTTTTTTGGAGTTTTGTTTAATAGTATTTTTCTATCGACTTTACAACCTTAAATCCTGGGATTTTTCCCAATATATTTTGTAATTTAGAGTTAATTAAAACTCCAATTTCTCCAGGAACGCATTTTAATTGCTTAATGGCATTATCTACTATTTCTAGGCTTTCGGTTAATGCCATTTTAGAAGTTTCTAATTTTGAAATAGTATCAACAAAAAATCCAAAATTAGCGGTAATAAGTGCTAAATGGTTTTGTGCGTTTTTTGAAATTTTTACCTACTTCCTAGATAAGATATTGTACAGACTTAATCATATATTTTCGTCCATTGTAAAATACTAAAATAAAAACGGAAATTCTACAATAATATAGATTATGTATATTTATTAATAAAATATTTAAGTATTATTTATTTATACTAAAATATTTAAAAATATTTAAAATAAAATTAGTATCAGTTCATTCAAAACAAAATGAAACGTACACATATGTTAATAACTCTCCGATATTAAAATTACATAAAAATATTTATTTAAATTATTATCTGTTCCCTATTAATAATTAATTAATTAAATTTAATTATTATATTAACGTTTTATGTCAACATACTCAATGTACGGTGTATTCTTATCCACAGACCGCCGCATGAGGTTTCGATAGCTAGATTCGTTTCGACTTTATTAATATATCACTTACAAATAATATTCAAAATAAACTATCCAAGTCCAATCTTTCAAATAATGTAAATAAAAATAAAAATAATGAAAAAAATTTAACATCTACATTGACTGATGAATCAAACGATGGTTTTACTGTGTAAAAAAGTAAACGACACTTATTAAGCTAATAAAATAAAAACAAAAATTTATTTAAAACCATCAATCAATTTGAACTCCTATATCAGTGGTTCCCAATCTTTTTTATTTACCCCTTGTTCATTTTCAAAAATATCATGCCCTCTCCCCTTAAATTAGAAATAAGATGACCTTTTTTTTTTAGTAAGCCATACAAAGAAGATTAATTCTCGCAGAACAAATAAAATTTTCGTAATATTATCAAAAATATATCCCACCCATTTAGTATCTAATCCCCCCCTCGGTTGAGAACCACTGGTCTAGATGAACTCTCGAAGAAAGCTCAATTAATGATGAATTCATTCACAATAATAGTCATAACGATATACCAAAACCTTCCCCTACTATTTTTTTTAAGAGACGTGATTAATTATACAGAAGTATGTACAAAACTTATAGACCTTATTGGTGTTGACAATTTTTTCTGTAAGTCCTCTGCAGATCAGTTAAAAATTCAAATAGCCAACCCGGACTTATATAGAACTCTCGTCCGATATTTAAAAGAATAAAATGCTAAAATGCTCAATACTATACCTATCAACTTAAGGAAGATAAACCGATTTGCGTTGTTATCCGAAATATTCATCCTACAATTAGAACTGAATTAATTAAGGATGAACTGGAAGTTTGCCTTTTTGAAGTCGGACACGTAATAAATGTTCTTCATAGAATTACCAAGATACAATTACCTCTTTTCTTAGTTGATTTAGAATCAACCTCTAAGTTAAGTGAAATATTTCAACTCTCTTCGTTATTACATACCAAAGTTAAAGTTGAAGAGCCATACAAACCAAAATCGATTAGTCAGTGCAATAATGGCCAGGAATTCGGTCACACTAAAACTTATTGTGACTACCCTTCACGCTGTGTTCGATGTGGTACTCATCATCAGTCTTCCATATGCCCAAATTAACGCGCTAATCCACTAAAATTCGCACTTTGTTCTAAAGATCACCCTGCTAGTTACAAAAAATGTTTAATGTACAGGGAGTTTCAATGCGGCAGAAAACCCGCCATCAATAGTATTTTTTTATCACATATATTAGAAATAAAGAATACAATTGTTAGAGACAGCCATCCGTTAACTAATCCTTCTTTAAATCAACCTTCTAATCATGTACTCACTTACGCTCAAGCCACCTCTGGTGAATCTACCAATTCAGATGCTAACTCTACATCTGAACCCAAAAATTTCCTTGAGAAGTTCAAATCCGATATTGAACCTCTTATCTCTCTCTCTAAATTAATCACAAAACTTCTTGATAAAATATAAATGTCTTCTAATAATATTACTAACAAATCTATTTTAGTCCTTCCATTCAATGCTTATGACACTCTGTCTCAATTTGACTACAATGTGATATCTATGTGACTCAATTTTACACACAGAAACATATGAGGGGCAGTTAAAAAAATAAGATCTGATTAAGATTAAAGGGTTTCATGACTTATAAAACAGATTCTACGTTTACCATATGGTTTGTGTTGAATCTCTGAAACAATAAATGGACGCAACGAAAAATGTAGTTAATTTTCTTTAACACTGATAAGTCATTTTCATATTACTACTATGCGAATGTGTATGCAAATTAAATACATAGTGTCGCTCGAGTAATTATTTTCGGAAATTAGTCATTTATTCCATTGAAAGCATGTAGGTACCATGGTTTATGAGTGAGCTAGTGTGAATAATCAGTGAAGATTATAATAATGATTCAGACGATTCAATTGAACTCTAAGGGAATTAGTGCACCGGTGCAAAACGGATAATTTCATCTATGTGTTATGGATGACAGTGAAAATATAATAGATTGTCGTATCAACGATAGGTATTAAATTATACTATACGAAATTCGTCATGTACCCAGAACGTTCTTGCGTAATTTTCAATGGAGGAATGTTTAAATGATTGATCTCTCTTTGAATTACAGAATATTCAACATTTATTTTTAACAAATATTTAACAAATTTTTAACAATACAACAAATAATTCTAATGATCATATTATATTATTTTTGCTCTACTGCATTATGAATATCTACAACAAGAATTAATATTTTATAAAATCATATAATAAAGAACGATTTCTGAGGCAAAAAAATCAATAAATTTTTTTTAGAAAAAACAACAACTTATTAACATTTTTAAAAATAGCATTTTTTATTTCAAATATTATTAAATACCATTAGTTTTTTAATAGTCCAATAAGTATACATATATATATATAAATAGTGTGTATTTCTAATTGTATGAAATCAGTGACGATAATGAATAGAAAAAGGAAATTATTACATTATAACTAAAAAAGCATTATAAGTTATAAAAAATTTCATTATTAACTATTTACGTCATTTATTTGAAATATTACTAGTATGATTATAAATTAAACTTTATAAAACTATAGTAGAATTATAATTATATAACATGTATTAGATGCGTTATGAAAAATTTTTTGCAAATTAAATTTTATGTAACCTACGGATTAATAATTAATCAAAGTCCAGTTAGAAAAAAATTTAATTTCCCAAACGCGAGTGCATGAAATGCGTTGGCAATTTAATACTGCATTGCAGATTGTACGATAAACATCTCAATTAGGTATACGTATATTATTTAATTGGAAGTTAAACTGGTTATTGAAGTATGAAAATTTACTTCATAAACTTTCTTTTGCTATAATTCTTTGAAAATATTATACATATAATAACGATAAATTACTAAGACCTGAATAATACTTTTAGTGTAGTGATAATCTTTACTTCTTGTACTAGTGTATGTATATTTTTAAGATTTAATGACCACAATATTAAAAAACTATTTAATTTAGTTTTAAATTAAAAATTATTTTACATTTCTATAGATAAGTATAGTGGTTCCCAAGCTGTACACCCTAGGAGCACTGCGATCTACGGTTCATAACAAATAATTTAAAATATATAAAATTGTTTTCCTTATTGTTTTCGTAAAAACTTTAAATAATGTAACATTTTCTACTGTATATTCGAATATTCTCATTTTAACTTTATAATATTTTTATATTATAATTAAAATTATAATAACAATAATTTTTATTTATTTATTTTTTAAGTTTAAAAATTCATTAATTTATAATTAAGCCAAATTTTAACAAAATTAACAAATTGATTATCAATAGGTTTTTTTTTTTTGTTCTGTTTTTAATGTTATTCACAACAGGACACCGTGGCTAAATTGGACCAAAAAAGGCACCGCGGAGAAAAAAGTTTGGGAACCGCTGGATAAGTACATTTTGAATTAAAAATGAGTACTTAATATAATAATTTTAAATTTAAAGTATAATAATAGTCACATTTATTCTGCATGCCATTTATTATTATAATTTAGCTTATTGTACAATGCTTAGAATTTGAAATTCAATAATTAAATTTTTTTTTTAATGAATTCTCCTTTCGTTATTGTGCACATGCTATAGTATTTATTTTTACGCTTATTTAGTATGTACAAAAAAATAAGATAAAACTATTTCGTTTTAGTATATGTTATTATTTTATTTCGTGAAATTCGTTGTTAAATTCATACGGGTCAATACATTAAATAAATTTATACCATACACAATATATATATATATTATTACACTTTTGGAAATATATTTAACCGTATTCTTTATCACGCTCGCATAAAACGAATGAATATTAATACAACAATTAATATTGTTACAGTTAGATCTTCAAACTAATAATATGTATTTTTAAAATCTTAAACTTATTGGAAAGCTTATCATCCGATTGCTGAAAAGCTTGTATATATTACGCAGGTCCATAGTATTAAAGGAAGAATACAGTTTTATTTCGTTGTACAAAACCTATGATAACGAATAAAAACAGAAAAGACCTAATACCAATCTTTATAATTATATAATAAATAATATGCCGTAGCCATATTGATATAAACGAAGTTGCAATAACCTTTCAGATTTATTTCAGTCTAACACAATACGATTATATTTAAAAACTCGAATCACTAAAGATTACTAGATAGGTGATGGTCGACTCGGGTGATTTTCAATATTGAATGAACAATTTGAATACAAAACCAAGTGAAATTCATTGACATTAAATAATTTCAATTTTCTTCAATCTGTACACCACGTAAAGGCCATAAGGCTATTGACAAGAATATATCGTTTATGTCGCGACGTCTTCTATGTTACACCATATATTTTATGTGAAAAACGTTAGTTCACAACGTTGTTTTCTGGTTATTGAAGTTACTGATGAATCATTAGTGAGTCATATGCAGTGCGTTTCGTGATCAATGAATTAACAGTTTATTTAGTTTACTGGAATAAA